ATCGTTTACTAACATGAGGTACATGGTAACTTACATGTATTCTTGATATGATGGATGACAGATCTGACCCATATGCACTCTCAACTTGCTTCATGAAACGCAAGAATCTCAAAATAATTAGAAGAAGTAGCAACCAATGTTTGTTTTGTAGAGCTCCATGATATTGTAGTGTCATTGTCAATAGAAACATATCCCGTCTACAAGCGAGTTTTGTGGGGATAAAAAAGATACCTAGCATCTGTATAGCCAACTAATTTAGGATCACTAACAATTTTCTTTGGATAAAATAATCTCAAGTCTTTTGAATCCTTTTGAACTCTCATCTGTTTTGATGTGCCAAAACTAATCAAAAGGGTGTTTAAGGACTAACAAATGTGCAAAGTTATGATATAAGTCATAACCAAAATGAAAATGCAATTTTCTAGGTGGAACGACTATTCACATAGATTGAACGTTTGTTCCAATCAATTATTGTTGAAGAAAAACTCCCAATCAAGCTGTTCCAAGTTGGAATGACATCATTCCATGATGTCGTTCATCATTTTGCCAAAATAAAGCAACCTTCTAGTCAAGTCGTTCCAAGCCAAACAACCGTCCAGTCAGCCTATTCTGAACATATTTGAAGACTTAGACAAAAAGGCTGAAATACCCATCTAAAGAAGGAATGACCAAACTGAAGTTCTTCAAGACCGTTCCACATGAACGACGTAGTTCCACCACATCATTCATCATCCTAGAATCCTGACACAATTTTGCGATCTAAAGAGGAATGCATGTCTCATAAGAGGAATGTTTGTTCCACATCAAGTCAAGAATTTGGACTTAGAAGATTTGAGCTCAAGTCAAGGTTTTTGAAAAAGCAAAGAGTTAGACTTGAACGACCTTGAAAAACACTCGTTCCCAGAGTTCATCAAGCCATTCCAAGAAGGAATGACACCATTCCAAGAAGTCGTTCATCGTTCTGGAATTTTCTAAACTTCAAAGAATCCAAGATGGAATGATCGTTCCTAAGAAGGAATACTCGTTTGTGATAGGGGAAAAACCATTCCAAATGCTAAATTTGAACAAAAAGTGACCGTTAGTGTCAGGAACTACCGTTCGTGATAATGGAACAACAATTCCTCTAAGTTCTATAGTTTTGCAGAAAGCTATAATAGTGCATTAAATGAAGCAAAGATTCTAATTTATTTCAAGGGTTGGTGAAGACATAAATAAAGAGAGTTATGGGAAGAGAAAGAGAAAGAGAGAGAGAATAGTGCAACAATCAATAATCATTATTGCAAACCCTAGAGCTAAATCCAAAACATAATTTACTCTCTCATTTGTACTCAAACTCATATCCTTGGTAGAGGTGGCAATGGGTCGTGTTGGCATAGCCCACAAATCTAAAAAATAAAAAAAATTCAAATGTAGCCGTTGCAACGACTATATTCAACGGCTACAATTGTAGCCGTTGGGACTTGGGTGGGCTGGCTTATATAAGTGCCCCCGCGCACCCCCCTCCCCTTGGTCTCCATCTCCCTCTCAAATCTCATCTCAATTCTCACATATTCTTCAATTATTAAACTCTCATATTTTTCAATTATTATTAGTTAATTAATTTCTTTCATCAAATCAAATTTATTTCAAATTGGATCCAAATTGAAATGGATTTAATCCTTTCGAGTATTTTGATGATGAGGGAAATCCATTGCTTAATGGATTATCAAATGAAGATCCATAGCCCCTAGAAAAGAAAAGAAAGCAAAAAATCTAAGGTTTGGGAGAATTTCAGTCAAATACAATAAAAAGTTTCTGGTGAAATTGTTTGATGTGTAGTGTACAATTATTGTGGTTCTACTTTTTCATGTGTGAGTTCGGGTGGCACCGGGCATCTCAAAAGGCATACAAAAGATCATTGCAAACATGCACCAGCTCATTTAGGAAGGCAAAAACAAATTGTTTTCAAAAAGGTAACATCGTCAGTATGTATTCATCTGCTAATCTATCTCCATCTAATTTTGCAATGGGTGAAATTTCTAATTTCACATATAGTCAACAAAACATGAGAGACTATATGGCCGGGTACATTGTCGCAACCGATTAGCCTTTTTCATTTGGTGATATATTATTTTAGAATGGTTTATGCAAAGTAGTGTACAACTTGTTTTTAGAAGAGTTTCTAGAAACACTTTAAGATATGATATTATTAGAAATTACAAACAAATGAAATTAAATATTATAAAGGAACTTAGGAAATTTAATGGAGTTATTTCATTTACTTCTGATTTATGGACGTCTAATAATCAAGATTTATGATATATTTGTGCAACTAGTCATTATATAAATTCAAATTGGCAACTAGAAAAGAAAATTCTTGCATTTTGTGTTTTAGAATATTCACATACTAGCAACACAATTTATGAAGAATTAACTACAATCTTTAGTGATTATGAAATAAAAGATAAAATTTTCTCTATCACATTTGATAATGCAACAACAAATGATAAAGTTATTGAGTTAATGTTACATTGTAATAATTTACCTTATGAAGGTAAATTATTTCATATTAGATGTGTGTGTTATATAATAAATTTGATTGCACAAGATGGATTAAAATTAGTTCAAACTGAAATCTCTCTCATTAGGCATGCAATTACTTTTATTCCATCATCTCCTTCACCTTTACAACATTATCATAGGCTGTGTAAAAAAATGAAATGAAAAAAGAGAAAATTGAAAGCTGATGTAAAACCTCGTTGGAACTGTACATATTTAATGTTAAAGTCTTGTGAAGGTTATAAAAATGCTATTACACAATTTTATGATACAAAACAAAAGGATCATTTATTGGATCAATATCATTGGAATATTGCATTTTCCTTAATGAATATTTTAGAACCTTTAAATAATGCTACTAATCAGTGTTCTGGTTATTATTATCCTATAGCTTGCTTAGCCTTATATTGTATAATGGAAATTAGTTTTATTTTTAAGGAATATAGAATGAATGAAAATTTTGGACATATTGCAAAAGCAATGGAAGAAAAATTTAGAAAATATTAGGAAAAACCACCTATACTATTTGTATTAGCTACTGTAAGGGATCCTAGGACAAAATTATTAGGAGTAACTAATTTGTTAGAAGTTATTTTGGAAAATCTAGAGGTCCCTTTAGCATTAAAAATAGAAGACTTTAAGGAATCATTACTTGAAATGTATTCAATTTATGGAGTCAAATATGGAAACACTACAAATACGTCATAGCTGGTAGATTCAAGTTCAAGTTCCTCTAGAGGTAGACAACGTCTGTTCTCTATCCTCACTAAAGGTAAATAACCGATAGGTTCAAGCTCTTCATTTGGTGAATTTACAAATTATTTAAACATTGATCACTTGTTTGAAATTATGAGTGAAAATGATCAATTTGATATTCTTGCTTGGTGAAAAGCACATGAAAAAACTTATCTTGTACTTTCCGCCATGACACGTGATTTACTAACGCCTCCAGTTTCTACTATAGCATCTGAATCAATTTTTAGTGCAGGTGGACATGTATTAGACGATAGAAGATCAAGTTTACATCCAAGTGTTGTTGAAGCTATTATGTGCATGAAAGGTTGGGTGACGGTAGATTTCAAGATACAAAATTGTGTTGCTAATGATATATTAGAAGGTTTCAAAAATTTAGATATATATGGATGAAAGTGAAAATGTATGATACTTGTACATGTAACATATAAGTTTATTTTTCCATGCATAGCATAGGTTTCTTCTATTTTGTTATTTTAATTTCATCGTGTAACCACAATATTCTTCCTCCATAAGTGAAGCATTAATAAAATTGCCAACCTCATTTTTTAGAAAATATAATTATATTTTAAACTTATCTAATTTACACTAAAATTTATTAACAACTTATTTTTAAATAAAGAGGTAAAATAACTAATAAACATTTCGAAAAATATAAATAACACAAATCTTTAACCTAAAAACATAAATACATAATAAAAAAAAGCTTTAAACATTTTGAAAAATCAAGAATACTTTCAAAAAAACCATTACAAAAACCAAAACAAAAAGAAACTAAAATCTAAAGCTATTTGTCAAGCTCAATTTTTTCAGATTTGTATTGATTTTTTATTTTATTTTATTTTTACAAAGTAAGTTTTTCAATTTTTAAATCCTTTTAGGGGATGTTTGGTTAGGGGTTATCTCTCATTACTCTAGTAATGTTACTAACATTATCATGTTTGACTGTTAAATAATATAAGATTCCGGTAATTATCCAATACAATAGTAATCATTGTTGGTTATATAGGTGGTGATCTGAATGCCACCATTTTCTTAGGTATTCTGAGATTACTTGGTAATCTTAATTTTATTACAGTTTTATCCCTAGCTATTAAAATTTTTGGATAATAATACATTTGTTTTGAAAACAATTTACAAGAATATTCATGAAATATTTTATCCTTATATACAATATTTTTAGGACATTATTACCCTTGCACATACACCGAATTACCCAAGACAAATGGTTGAATCTAGCCACCACCAACGATGGCCGACCGTCGGCCATTGCCCACCACTGCTGCATGTCGATAGCCGTGTCAGAACGACACACGACTGGTCGAATCTGGCCGGCCATGTGTTGTTCAAGCCATTATAGGTCACAGCTAGCGATGGTGGTTGGCGATCGGCAGTGGCTTGGGTGGATAAAGGTGATTTTGTTAAAATTTAAACTTTTATTGTTGTTAGAGTGTTTTATCAAAATATCAAATATAGGGGTTAAAAAATAATTCAACCAATGATAATAATATTAAAAAAGAAGGATAATTTAATAATCTACATAATATATTTATCAATTTATTCCTCTCAACTAAACATATTAAGATATCTATTAATTTATTCTAATTTAACTAAATTATAGATAATTTATATTCTTATTAATACAATATTCTCAATAATATATAATATTCCACCATCGATAGATACCCTTGTCGTTAAATATTGTGAGATTTATTTTATTTTTTTATTTTTAAGAGTAGACCGACGCTGCTTCTAACAGTTTGAGTTGAATGTTAATGGCGGTGGCTTGAGACTCAGCTTCATCAACAACTGAGAGTGGTATCATTATTTTCCCATCAATCAAAAGAAATGTTTCCAAAGTTGTTAATGAGGCAACTACGATTTCTGAGAAACAGACCTCTTCTCAATCTCAGATTTTTGTCTGATACTTCAACAACGCCTTCCCAATCTTGTAATTCCACAATTACCCCCAATAAACTCCACAACCACTCACCTTCCTCCTCTTTAAATTATCTCGAACTCGCTAAATTTTCCGCCATTGCTGACACCTGGTTCGTTTTTGAAGTTTTTTCTTCTTATTCTTTTCAATTACTACATTTTTAACTTATCGTTTGTATTATTATGTTATGATTAGGTGGGATTATCAAGGACCCTTTAACCATTGCAGCCATGAAAACTACCAGACTTGCTTTCATTCGCTCCACTCTTTGTCGACATTTCAGGTATCTTTATTTCAATTTTTTTTTTTTTTTTTTTTTTTTTTTTTTTTTTTTTTTTTTTGGGTGGGTAAATACATTTGTCCAATTTGTTGCATTTTAAATATTCTTAGCATGTTGAATTTAAAAAACCTGTTCTTTAGTGATTTGTGAGCTTAACATTGAGCCTTTTTGTTTATTCACTTAGATTGGGGAGGGTTTGGGGTTAAATTTATGCTATCGGTATTGATTTTTGAGTTGTCCATAACTTATCTTGTATAGATCTTTTCATAACCCTCTAGTTGTATTTTAAATTTTGTGGACAACTTTGTTCTCTCTTTTGTAATTTTTTTTTTAATCAATGATGTCATAGTTTTTCCTTAAAAAAGGGTGTATGCGTTGGAATTTGAATGGAACTCAATGCATTAGGAATTCATACTATCTGCCTCATGAGTTAGTATAGTATATATATTTTTACGTATAGCTTGCCATTGATATTGTTATTATCAAGGCCCTTTTTATTTTCGTATCCATTACGCCACAAGGAATGAGCAAATAATTATGGAGTGGCGATTTTGGTGTATCGTCTAAGGACTTAGTATGAATGCTAGGGCCTCTGTTTGATACCCTTAATTTAGCGTTGCTTATATTTGTTAGATTTAGCTGAAATTTCTATTCTTGCCTTTGGATTTTTATTTTTTTTGCTTGTTTCAGAAAAGATCCTTACTCCGCTAGGCCTTTTGAAGGACTAAGTTTTGTTGATGTTGGTTGTGGAGGTGGAATTCTTTCAGAGGTATATAATGTTTCTTCTTTTTTGTTTTGAGCAATGCTCTAAAATCTTATTAATCTATTCTGCAGCTTTTCTTGTCCTCAATCACCATCTCTCCTATGAAGGTTTTCATGTATAGAATTAGCTTGTATAAAAGGAAGAAAGAACACTGTGGTGATTATATGTAATAGTAATACCTTTCATGCTTGCATTTGAGCTTTTTAATACTTAAGCTTGATGAGATGTAGCAGCTATATGAGAGAAATCTAGTTTACTTAACTTCAATGTTGGACCAACTTGGATATTGTGAGACTTCACCATTGCTTTTAAGAGAATTATTTGGGCAAGTTAAAATTATTCATTAGAAATGGCATTGTGGGTGATAGCTATTTCAAAGTCACTTGTGATGGCATAACTAATCAGGGATGAATCTTGCTTAAAACAAAGAAATAGGGGATTTGGGATAAGTGTTTGCTACCTTAATCCGTACACCCAATCGGCTAACAGTGGACCCCAAAAAGACTGTCCATAGATGTTTTGCATTGTAAAATTACTGATTGTGTTCTATGAAGAGATTTTCGACCCTTCCAATGGCAGGTAGCTTAGCATGGGTCATTTCTTATGATGAGTTATATTACTGGCAATATCAGCTGGTAACTGAATGACAACTGGTTGATAGCATCATATCACAACGGCATGTAGAGATATTATTCTATTATTAATCGACATCTTGATGTTTTACTTTCTTTGGTAATTGATGTTCATTGTATCGTAAAATGGTTTTTATTAAGAGTGGTCTTTAGCTGTTAATTCTTTTCTTTTTCTTCTTCAGCCTTTGGCAAGAATGGGAGCTACTGTAACTGGCATTGATGCTGTGGAGAAAAATGTCAAGATTGCCCGTGTTCATGCTGTATGGTCATTTCTTATTTATACCTTGCTAAATTACTGTCATTGAATTTTATATTTAATATATCTAACTTTTGGAATTTAATTATTAATTTTTGGTGATGAATGTGATACACATTGTTGCTGCAGGAAATAATTCTCGAGCTCCAATTTGTAATTATCATTATTGAAGTTCTGCTTCTAATTTGATTAAAATGAATTATGTTTCTGTAGCATTATCATATTAACTGGCAAGGTTAATATTTGAAATTATATAGTATATTCACTCTTTATGCAGATTATACTTTAGATCTTAATTAGGATATTTATTGCACAGGACCTGGATCCAGAGACTTCGACTATTGAATACTGTTGCACAACAGCTGGTATTTTGCTTCTCTGTTCTCAAACTTTTACATATTTCTTAGTGGATGGTGAAATCCTTGGTGTGTAAAACTTAGTACAAGGATGCCCCTTCATTTTGTTCATTTGCTTCCTCTGATATCATGATCTGGTATAGTTTTTATGAGTAGTGAATACCATTAAAACTGGAAAACGCTAGCCTTTTTCTTGGCACATTTAGGCTGGAGTCCAGTACTTTGGGGGAAATTTTACTAAAAAGCCAAGTTATGCGATGCTTTAGAGATTGCTTCAAATCTATCAGTAGTGCCCTTGAAGTTAATGGTTCACCAAGTGTAAAATATAGTCGAAGTATTCATCGTGAAATTAAATCAGAAGCTCGATTGAGTATCATATTGGTATATGCTTTCTGCTAGAGTTGAAATGCTGTTATACATCTTTTAATGACATGGATATTGCTTGGATTAGAAATTGATTGAATCTGATCTTTGACATTAAACTAGGTTACGAGGTTTTTGTTATTTCTTCATTTCATGTTTTTTATGGGCCATTTGTTCGTTTTTATATTTACAATGTGTACACAATCTAATGAACAGAAAAGCTTTTAGAGGAACAGAGGAAGTTTGATGCTGTGATTGCTTTAGAGGTGCTCTCTCTCTCGCTGTCTCCGTATTTGTTTTCCGGAATTTGCACACATACACTTTGTGAATCACTAACAGTCAATTGTTCCATGCATTCCCATCTTTTGTAGGTGATGTTTGCTTTATCAAAATGAAATGATATAGGGAAAAAAATGGAATAAAAATGAAAATCGAATAATGGTGCCCATGTTTGGTTATAACAAGAAATCATGAATGAAATGGAATTCATTATAAGGTGTTTGGCTAACCTTACCCTCAAATTTAAAATATTTAGTAAAAAACATAAATAGAAAATAAATGTTTGTATCGATGTAATAATCTTTTAATTTGTCATTATTTTATTGATAGTGTAAAATGATACACATGGTAATATAAAAATAATTTTTTACATTAATAGTAGAAAAAAAAATATAGTGATATTATTACTTGTTAAATGTATAAAAGATTACTTATTCAAATATATATTGTAGTAGTAATTTTGCAAAAACAATAAGGCTCTGTTTGGTTCATTATTGGGTAGTTTTTAGAATAATCTTTTGAAAAAAGTTAAATTGGGTGGGTATTATGAGGTAGAATTTTGAAAATTAACATAAATACTCCTATGTTTATTTATTTACTAAACACCTCTATAATAAAATGTTCAAAGTTAACAAAAATACCCCCAATCCACTCATAAATACGGACAGCTGGCCACCACTGTTGGAGGGTGGCTGGAGTTGCCTTATCGGCGCATGACTGGCTCGATCTTGTCGGTCGTGAGTTGACATGACCTTTTCCGGCCAGATCTGGTCGCATCGATATCTTGGCCGTTGTTGACGACTGTCTACGGCCAGATCTTTGGTCGTAGATCTAGCATTTTTCGGCTAGATCCAACGTGGATCTGGCCGAAAAGGGTTAGATCGGCGCACTATCGGCTAGATTCAGTCGGTAGTGCGCCATTACACTAGATTCCGGCCAGTTTTCGGCAGCGGTGACTGAAATCTGGTAAATTTGGGTTATTGGGGTGTTTTTGTCAATTTTAAAAAAAAAATTTGGGGTTTATTTAGTTAAATTAACAAATTTAGGGGGATTAAAGGAAATTGAATAATTCAGAAAATTATTTTGAAAATAGGCGAAATAAAGTTAACTTTTTTGGAAAACTTTTGGGAAATAGTTTTCCCAATATGTGAACCAAACGGAGCCTAAAAGATTTTATGGTAAAGCTTTTTGATCAATGGCTTGCCATTGCACTTCCCGACGACATTGCCCGGTTGAGATTAGAAACTATAGATTTACAAATGTGTACCAGTTCTTGTGATAAAAGATTTCACCGTTAGGTCACAAATGGCGGGAAAACATACCATGATTGTCAAAGAATTGTTTTGTGCAATCAACTTTCTACCGTTTTATTATGAGCTGGTGGTGTTGGAGGACATGTGATGTTTGGCATAGCTCTCAACATTGGTACGGTAAACTTAACATTTAAATTTTAAATAAACATCGATTATAATTATTTAATTATTATTTTTTTAATTGTGTTATAAATTATCTTTTATCTAATTGTGGAATATATATATTTTTTTATATTTTATTAAGGATGAAATTAGGATTTCATACCTTAATTAGGGATGGAATGGGGATTCTTGCCCTTTAATAATGTCCATTCCTTATAAATCAATAAATTGGGGTTGTTGATTTAAAGGGCAAAATTTTTTATTATATTTCTAATTGGAATAGGAAATTCTCATTTAAATCCTTTAATAAAATATTTGCTTTATTAGATAAGAAGCATTTTAGTATATAATAAAATATACTTTAAGTAAATATATATAAAAATTAAAAATTGAACTTTACTGTTTCAGCATCGGCAGCCACCCTAGAAATCATACATCCTTCAATACAACTAGCACGTGAAAGATGAATTAAGCTGATCTATTCATTTAGCTATAATGAAGTTTTTAATTCCCCAATAGACAATAAAGTGGTACAAAGGTGAGTATGAATTGAGAACTGCTTCTGGATATGGCATTTTATAAATTTCACAAGGTTTTGGTCATCATGTCCTTTTATATGCCTCTTAAACCGTTGAAGAAAATATATCATCGGTATCAACCTTGAGCTGACCTGGGTCATCAACATATGTGCTTTGATTCAGGTTGCTTTCAGCCTGATGCTGCTTGAGTTGCTTCACTGAATCCAGAAGCCCACAGGGGATATTGGTAGTATATAGCTTCAAATTTCAACTTTTACCCCAACATAATAATGCAAGAAACCTCCTGTGACATTAATAAGGAGTTTCTCTAATGATCTAAGAAATAAGCAACTAGATACTTGTCATCTTGAGAATTTAGGTTACTCTTTGATTTGCTTTTGTTCATACACTTGTCAAGTCCGTGGAACTGTTTGTGATTTGAAGCCAATTTGTTTATACGCTGATCATTTTCACTGAAGGTAATTGAGCACGTGGCAGATCCTGCTGAATTCTGCAAGTCTTTGGCATCATTAACTGTCCCAAATGGAGCCACTGTGATTTCAACAATTAACCGTTCTATTAGAGCATATGCAGCTGCCATTGTTGCAGCAGAATACATCCTCCACTGGGTATTACTCTTTTACTCATTTAAGCCATAAGTATCTTTGGTTGTTTTTATCAAGTGTGCATGTTGTCAACCCTAAACTTATTTATGCTTTATCAGAATTGTCTTTAAGTTTCCATCTGAAAATGGATCACATCTAATGTTGCATTTTAATAACATTGTGATACTGGCGGGTCAGTCATAGTTTGCTAAATTGTAGGTATACATGTGATTTTGACAGCTTCCTAAAGGTACACATCAGTGGTCGAGTTTTCTTACTCCAGAAGAGCTAGTACTAATACTAAAACGAGCATCGATCAATGTAAGCGAAATGCATATTGTCTTGGCTACAAATGTGCTTCCAGATTGTATATGTTATAATGTTACGAGTTTGAATACTACAGGTGAAAGAGATGGCAGGATTTGAGTACAACCCCTTAACAGGAAGATGGTCTTTATCTGATGATATTAGTGTAAACTTCATTGCTTTTGGCACCAAAATCCCTCGGTAAAAATTGTTCTTGTGTAAATCTTTTGATGCATAACCCAATAAATAAATTTCCAAATAAGTATGTTGATCCTGTATACATTGAAAATTTTTAGTATTCTATTATCACTCACAGTGACAAGGTTCAGGATATTATATTGATTTTTGTATGGATTTTGTGAAAGTTGAAATGATATTGCAACTTGTTATTGTAGGGTTCTTTTTTTTGGTATGGTTTATTTAAGTAGAGATTATTGAAAAAAAGCTTATCAGAAAAATGTAGTTTTTATGAAAAATTTGTTAATTGGTTAGTTAAAAAAAAAAAAAAAAAGTGAAAAAGGTTTGTAGCGTTATTCATAAAACTGACTTTATTATATCAAAATAGATCAAGTCATATATTTATAAAATAGAATCACGATTTTTTTTTTATATTTCAATATTTTAATATGCTAAAAAAAGGTTCATATTGTAAAATAATTGATTTAAAATCTCAAAATCATTTTCAAGTACAAATTGGCTTACATATTGTACTGTACAATCAAACAGTGAATTTTTTTTTTCAAAATTGATCAAGTCATCGATTAATTTGAAACTATTGATCAGGTAAGAGCTTCAGTGATCACTTTTATTAGGGGTCATTTGAACTCGAATTCGAGAGACTATGTAAACTTAGATTCTTTTTTACTTTTTTACTATCAGACCATCTAATGGTAGTTTAAAAAAAAAAAAAAAAAATCATTTAAGTATTTCTATTTTATGATAAATTTGATTTTTCTTATTAAATATGTTACAAACTTTAATTACAAATCTTAAAGATAAAACTTATTGGCTTCATCAACTTCATATGTACTATGTATAATGTGTATAAATCTATTTAAATGATTGTATCGATAATACTCAAATTTGGGATGTTTTAGGATGAGTAAAATTACTTTTATTATATTTTAGGTTATGTTATCCATACAAAATTAAAACTTAAATTCATTGATTTGACAAGTTATTTCACTTTTATCTCATTTTATAACGAAAAAGATTTTGCCAAATTAAGTATCATGTCGTTAAAATTCTGATTTTGTATACATAATAATTATTGTTATATTTTGTCACAAACAGGTAATACGAATTGAATGAAATTATTTGAAAAACTTTGGGTCCGTTTGTTNAATCATTTTTAAGTACAAATTGGCTTACATATTGTACTGTACAATCAAACAGCGAATTTTTTTTTTCAAAATTGATCAAGTCATCGATTAATTTGGAACCATTGATCAGGTAAAAACTTTAGTGATCATCTTTATTAAGGGTCATGGGAACTCGAATTCGAGAGTTTAAACTTAGATTCTTTTTTACTCTTTTACTATTAGACCATCTATTGGTAGTTAAAAAAAAAAAATCATTTAAGTATTCTTATTTTATGATAAATTTGATTTTTCTTATTAAATATGTTACAAACTGTAATTACAAATCTTAAAGATAAAACTTATTGGCTTCATCAACTTCATATGTACTATGTATAATGTGTACAAATCTATTTAAATGATTGTATCGATAATACTCAAATTTGGGATGTTTTAGGATGAGTAAAATTACTCTTATTATATTTTAGGTTATGTTATCCATACAAAATTAAAACTTAAATTCATTGATTTGACAAGTTATTTCACTTTTATTTCATTTTATAACGAAAAAGATTTTGCCAAATTAAGTATCATGTCGTTAAAATTCTGATTTTGTATACATAATAATTATTGTTATATTTTGTCACAAACAGGTAATACGAATTGAATGAAATTATTTGAAAAACTTTGGGTCCGTTTGTTTTATTATTTTGGATTAGATTTTGGGAATAATATTGGGTAGTTGAATAGGAGAGTATTACGAGGTAAAATTTAAAAATTTATAAAAAAAAACCCCATAGGTTTGTTAATCTAACTAAACACCCTAATATATAAAATTTTTGTAAAATGATAAAAACACCCCCATCCACCCACAGTGCCATATTCCGACCAGTTTCGGTCGTTTATAGGCCGTTATGACAGATTCCGGCTACCACCGATGGTGGTTGCCGAAATTTGGCAAGCATGGGTGGGTGGGGGTGTTTTTGTTAATTTTTAAACTTTTTTCTGGGGGTATTTAATAAAATTAATAATCTTAAGGGGTCTAAAAGTAATTAAAAAATATACTAATATTTCTCAAATAACAAAACAAACAATATTTTGGAAATAGAATTGGGAATATGGGTAAAAATAATGTGCCAAACGAAGCCTTTAATTCTCTGGTAACCCCCGATTTTAAATACATCCAATTAAAAAACACTAAAACTAATCAAGTATTAAATATCTTTACATTAGCTCGGGCAAATCTTTGTTTGATTTTTTAATCCTTCTCTTCTTTTAGTAGGATGAATCTCATTTGCACAACTTTTAGGTTGCGTATGGTTAAGGCCCTAAGAAGATTATTCCTGTAATCCATCTTTTAATCTGGTTATTACCTTGTTTGGTTCATCAGGTAATAAAATATTCCAATAATCTTTTATTTCTCAAGTAAGATGAGAGGTGATATAGGGGGTTATGTGATTACCTACTCAGATGGTGGTATTTTAAGATAGTTGGTAATCTTATTTTTGTCGCTAAGGAAAGTCTCACACCTTTTTTTTTTTTTTTTGGTTTTTTGGTAATTAAGCTTTCATAAAACCAAAAAAGAAAGGCACCTCAAGAGGCTACAAACAACCTGCTATTGGACAAGCCCTAGAGTCAAGAGAAACAAACAATTCCTTTGCAAGAAAAGAGAGAACATGAGGCCTAAAAAAGGCGGTTATCCTACCATAGGACGAGCCCTGGGATAGGAACAAAAGAAAAGAAGCCTATACAAGACTAGCATCAAAACTCCTCTTGTTGACAATCTTTGAGCTTACAAAGATTGGAGACAAGAGGAGGACAACTAGCACAAGGGCAGCAAGCCAAAGCCTAAAACAATATACAAAAAAACATCCTACTCATCCTACCTCAGGATTGAAAATGGATGGGGGAAGTACCCAATCATCAACAAGCTCTCTATTCTCCACTGAATCTTTAATCTTCTTTAGGTCCATGGTTCACACTATAACCATCAATTTCACATGGTTTTGGATGGATAAGGCATCCGAATAACTCCCTTCAAATCTTCTCTCATTTCTCTCACCCACAAAGAGTAAATAGTAGCACCAAGAGACAATTTACCGACAGTAAACTTCAATCAGTTCTTTTTCCATCTTTGCGAAACGTAAGAAATGTAATCTTGCCAAGAGGTAGTTTGATACCTTATATTGCACATGTGAAGGATTTGGTTTCATATTGTTAAGGTGAAACGACATCCAAAGAAAAGGTGATCCAAACTTTCCACTTTTGCGTTGCAAAAACAACAAGACATATTATTACCTAAGCCAAATCTTACCAAGCGGTCTTGAGTAGGAAGTCTTCCTCTAATGGCCAGCCAAAGTAGCATGCCTGGGGAAGTGCTTAAGGAACCAAACAAAGTGCTTCCAATCCACCATTTGTCTCCGAGCTCTAATTTCATTCCAACCCGATTTTATAGTGAAAGCTTTAAAAGGGTTAGGAGACCACATTACCTTATCCTCAATGTTGCTAGGCGAAAAGTTAACCGAGGCCTTCATCTCCATCAACTCCCAAGAGTTGGCCAAAGGCCATTTCCAACCCCTTTGTTGAGCCCTCGTGTGTTTTGATATGCCAAAACTAATCAAAGAGTTGATTGCTTTTCTAACAAACATGCTTAGGTATGACAAATAGTGATAATAAAAAACAAAATGCAGTTTTCCCTGTTGGCACGATCATGCAAGTCAAAGAAACGACCATTCCTTTATTTACAAAGTTACCCAAGTGGACGTTCCTCTCTACATGACAACGTTCCATGTGATTGTGCATGCTTCTGTCCAAAATGGAGCCAAGTCGTTCATACCAACACGACCAAGCAATACGTCTGTTCCATCCAAGTCAAAAGTCAAAAGTCCTCAAAATTCAATCACTTCGCGCCTTTGACGAATCTTGAAGACAAGCCTTGAAGTTCAAGTATCAAAAGTAGAATGACCGTTCTCTGTGGTGGAATGACCGTTCACACTCAAAGATCATTCATGGCAAAATGTCAACGTTCCAAGAAGCTGTTCATGCTTCTGGAACTTTTGTGGATTTTAAGGAGCCAATGGTCCGATCGTTCTTCATGGTGGAATGACCATTCGTGGTGGTGGTATGACCGTTCCTTGTGATGGAACGATCATGTCAGAAACCCTAAAGCTATATGAATTGACTGTTGGTGTTAGGAACAACTATTTGCAAAAGTGGAACGCCCATTCTTCTGTGCCTGCAAACTTTTCAAACATGCATTAAATGCAGCAACAACTCTTTGCATCCAAGGGAGAAGTCAAGCAATAAATAGAGCATTTCATTGCAAAGAAAGACAAAGAGAATATCAAAGATTCAAAGTTGTATCAAACATTCTCACATAATCCCTTAAGCTCAAAATCCAAATAAAAAGCATCACTCTCTTGCACTCATTTGTAAACCTTTGAGAGTATTATTCTTATTGTATGTCCAAGCCCAGTTTAAGAGGCAATCTTTCTCACATTTTTTAACAAACACTTTGTGGGTGAAATCCTATAAATCTAAGAGGCAAAATCCTGTCAAACTATTGTAAGAGGCGAAATCCTATTAAACTGGTGTATTTGGTGAAATCCGATTCTAATGGAATTTCAAGGAGGTTGCTTTGAAGAAATGGATGTAGGAGGCTTGTGGATAGAGCTCTGAACCACTTTAAATCTCTAAGTATTTCTTCTCTCTCAACTCATTTATTATTCCTTTCACATTTACTTTTGTTATAGTAGGTGCCATAGAGCCAATCCATTATTGTAATATGGACTCTTTGTAAGAATGTTTGTAATCCATAAAAGACATTTTTCTACATCGTGTAATTCGTATTCATTGTATGTTATAATGTATGTCCTTAGGATGGTAGAAGGTCATTCCCAATCCCTTTGTTGAGCCTTCATGTGTTTTGATGTGCCAAAACTAATCAAAGAGTTGACTGGATTTCTAACAAACATGATTAGGTATGACAAAGAGTCATAACCGAAAACAAAATGCAGTTTTCCCTGTTGGCACGACTGTGCAAGTCAAAGGAATGACCGTTCCTTTATTTACAAAGTTGCCCAGGTGGACGTTCCTC